CTGAGCGCAAGCCATTCATGATGGTTATTGTTCTAGGACGTCGCCAACTCCAACTGGCTTTCTTCCACACCACTTTCCATTCCCAGGTTCTGAGGTTCTGCTGGTCTGGGCTGCCGGGTAACTGACAAGTACTGTATAGCCCAAATAAAGCATGAGATGGACTCCACCCTTCAAGCACTGAAAAAAACAATGTCGTTGAACACTCGCTGAGTGACCGCTTTGGGTGGGACATGACTTTGTTACTATTGTTATATTCTATGTCATTACTGTCACCCTCATTATACAGATGAGGCAACTGTGGGACTGAAATGTTGGTCAGATGGTTCCTAAATAAAAAGGCTAATATCAAAGCTATGACCATTTTCCTTCCCAACACAAAACAAGGAAAGAGGAGCATAGAAGCAACACAAACAAGTACCCAACTGTCTCTGGCAGAAAGGGCTAGATCCATTAAGAAGAGGTGGTCCCATTGAGTGTCCTGCTGGGTCTCAAGTCTGGGTGATACTCTAGCAGCCCAGGGTGAAGAGGCAGGTGTAGATAAGAGGAAGGTGGCCCAACAAGGGAGGGATGTTGGGGAACAGTGAGCTCCCTTGGACTGGAAAGGAGGGGCTCCTCTCCCTGGGAGGAGCCCCTAACCCCTCATTTCACATATTATTTCTTCCATCCTTCCAACAACAGCCCTGAGCGTGGTCTTCCTCCCCTCATTCCACACATCACAAGCAGAGGAGTGAAGAGGTAAAGCAACTTACCCTCCGGGCGGGCCCGATTGCAGAGCCAAGGGCTCCTTTGGGCATCCCTCTGCCTCCCAAGATGCTGTGTATAACAGAAATCTGTTCCCTGGACCGAGGACTCTCAAGATCATGCACTCAGTGCTAAGTGACCTGGCATCCTCAGAAGCCTGGTGCAGGCCTGGCACCGAGGCCCCCAGGACCAGCCGTTGGCCATTATACAGATTCCCTGAGAGCCTCCTCCTTCTGTTCGTGAGGCCTGGGGAGCATTGTTTATGTTGTGGAAACAGAGAGGACGGAGCTAGCCGGTCCCTCTCCACCAGCTTTCTCTGGGGCTTGACAGATCTCTGTCCGTGAGTCAAGGGCATGGCATTAAAGGAAGCTAGAGGGACCCAGCAGGCTGGGGGTGAGGAGAGTCGAGTCTGGGCCCCTGCTCTGCACCGGGCATTTCACCACTCTGAGCCCCAGGTTTTCCGCCTAGAAATTGGTGTATTTTCAAAGATTTCTTAGTTCAACCTGTTACAACAAATTACCATAGAGTGGATGGATTAAACAACCTCAGATTTCTGGAGGCTGGAAGTTGAAGATTAAAGTAAAAGCAGATCCTGTCCAGGAAGGCCCCGCTTCCTGGCTTGCAGGAGATAGCCTGATGATCGTGTGGCAGAATGGACTAGCTAACGCTCAGTCCTCTTCGTACAACGGCACTAATCACATTTGGGAAGGTGCTACCCTCGTGGCACAATCACCTGCCAAAGGACCCACCTCCCAACACCACGACGTTGGGACTAGGGTGTACGCACATGTATTCTAAAGGACACCAACATTTCGTCCATTGCAGAAGATACTGGCAGATGACATCTGTAGATTGACAGGGATAAAGGGGGACTGTCCAGCTCCAACACCATGAGCTCCAGAGGGGAATCATGAGAGAGCCTTTAAAGCTTGCAGAAGAAAGCCATTCACCAGCTGGCCCAAGTCCAGGCCGAACCAGATCATTCCCGAAGCTCCAAGTGTAAAGAAGGAAACACTTGCCTCCCACCCCACGGTTCCTTCTCCTGGCCACATCACTTCCACTAGGCTTCTCCTTCCTGCCCTCTGCCCTGTTACATCCAAAAAAAAAGGCCTCCTGCCTCTTCACACTCTGACGCCAAGGCTGCTGGACTCTGACCCAGGGAATTCTGAGCCTTGACTCCGATGATGGAAGCAGGGGCTTCGTCCCCAGTAGAACACACCAGGGATCATCATGCGCTCCAGGCTCCAGCTCACCCCCTGGAGGGGAGCAGAGCCGCACTGGGCCTCAGTGCCCTGCGTCAAGTCCCGGCTCGGCTTTCAGCCCTTCTCCTCTCTGCGCCTTTGTTTCTTCATTTATAAATGAAGGGCTCAGCTTAGACGATTGCTAAGCCCCTTCCAGTCCACAGCCTCTGAGGATGTCCGCTGGTTGCTACCAGCGTGCAGCTGGGAGAACTCACTGGCCCTCTCTCTAACACAGGAAGCTTTTGGGAATGTGGCTGGACCGGTATTGTGGGCGCACTCAGGTCCTCCAGGACTCCAATGACCTCCAGAACAATCCAGACGACCTTCCCTCCAAGGACTCCTGCTGGAGACTTCCTGGGCATAAGAATCAGGTCCACAAGGATCTCCGTCCCCCACCCCCAACCACGAGACTAGACATGGTCCTTCTATAACTTCCAAGTTCAAATAGATACCTGATCAGAAGAAAATGATTTTTAACACATAAACTTTGTTTTCATATATATATATATATATATATATATATATAAAATCCCATTTTCTTCCTTTTGTGTTTCGGGGCGGGGGGGAAAGGCTTAGTAAAGCACAAGAAAGATTTTTCTTTTTCAAAAGATTTGACTTCAAAGTTAGTTAAACAGCATTTTCCCATAAATAAGCATGAAAGCTGCGTCTCCTGGGCTGATTTCTTTCAGTTTATACATTGACTACAATAACTCCCAATTCTACACATGATGCCAGTTCTCTTTGAATAATAAGAGCTAAAATATATAATACTGGTACTTTAACACACACGTGCACACAAAGAATTGAATAACCTCAACCCTAAACTATTACAGTATTTCAAAACGATTTTCAACATTTCTTGATTTCACACATCTTTGCTTAAATTATAGGTTACTGTCAAGCTGTATTATCCTGTTGATCTTTTACTTTGTGCATCAGAGTCCAAATTATTTGTTTTAATTTAATCTTCTTTTCTATTGAAAGTGTTACAGCTATGCCTCCAGCACTTCAGTCACAATAGGGATGAGTTATGCCTTTCAAAAGAGAGATTCTTCCAATTTTAGTGACAATGGGGCTGTTGGAGAATATCTAGGTACATGCAGAGGAAGAAACTGAGACCCAGAGAAGGAAAAGGCCAACCCTGATGTTCCATCTTGCAGGGGTGGGCTATTTCTTCTACAAAAAGCTTCTCAGCTCTTCAATCAAAAAATACCCAAATACGAGGGTGCAGTGGTACACACCTGTAATCCCAGCAACTCAGAGACAGGAGGATCACAAGTTCAAGGCCAACTTCAAGATCTCAACACTCAACAGTGATGTCTTGTCTCAAAATAAAATATAAAGAAGGCTGGTAATGTAGTTCAGTGGTAAAGCACCCCTGTGTTTGATCCTAGTGCTAAGTTTGTGTGTGTGTGTGTGTGTGTGTGTGTGTTGATATATATAAAATCCCTATGATCTTTTCTTTTCTCCATGGGTCTATTTGCCCAATTCCTTAAAATCCTTCTTCCTTAAGTGGAGATTTAGGGACATTTTTCACATTGTCTTACCTCCTGTTTCCAAACTTTATCAGCTGTATTTCATTGAACTCACCCCATTCTGACCTTGGGTTTGCCCAACTATGGGAGTCTTTACTGAAAGCTTGTGAGCTGTATAAACTGTTAAAATTGTCCCAAGGACTTTAGGGGAACAGAAGTCTCAGCCTCTCCGTCAGGGAGATCTGGTACCCACAGATCAACTAGAGTTCTCTACACCATTCCACCAATTAGTTGGTCCTTCTAGCAAGACAATGAACAAGTGTTAGTTCAGCTGTCACCTGCTGTCAGACACCTTCCCTAACCCTCTGCCGTCCCCCGACTCTGGTTATAAGACTTCCCGTGTGATTGATTACAAACACTGCCTTGATGTGTTTTCCGGGTGGGGGGAGCTGGGGATGGAACTCAGGGCCTCATGCATGCTAGGAAAGCCTCCACCACTGAGCTACACCCCCAGCCCCATGACACCCTCTTGAGAAAGGCCCTCAGAAGGAATCAAGGTAGAAAGGGAGCCCTAGATACAGGAACAGTGAGCAGAAAGCTGGAGGGCAGACAGCGTGGCCAGGGAAACACTCCACAAAATTAAGGCTCAAGAAGAACCTCCAATCAGGCAGCAAGACAGAGGCAGGAGGCAGATTTTGAAAAGCGTCATGAACCCTGTTGGGTTTGGATGGTATCCCAAGAGCTCTGGGAGCTATGGGAAGATGTTATTAATATTCTTTAAGTTATTAAAGTAATATGCATGGGCAGGCTCAGTGGTGCACACATGTAATCCCAGTGACTCAGGAGGCTGAGGCAGGAGGATCACAAGTTCAAAGGCAGCCTCAGCAAAAGCAAGGCGCTAAGCAACTCAGTGAGACCCTGTCTCTAAATAAAATGCAAAATAGGGCTGGAAATGTGGCTCAGTGGCTGAGTGCCCCTGAGTTCAATCCCCAGTCCCCACTCCCCACAAGAAAAAAAAAGTAATATGTGTTGTAACAAGTGAAATAATATTCAGATGAATTAAGAAAAAGCAGATCTTTTCTCTCCAACCAGTCGCCATTCCTCTCCCAACACCAGATAACTACTGTTAATATCCCAGTGTGTCTCAAGACCCTTGCAGAATTTTCTCTTTGATTTCAACATTTACAACATATACACCCACATACAGGGGTTGTTTGGCTTGCAACTGAAAAAAGAATCATGGTATGAGTATTACTTAGTGACTTAGTTTACCCAACTAAACACAGCAGCAATGACATTTCATAAGGTTAGACGGAGATCTAACTGCTCCTGCTGAGGGCCACAGCCGAGTCAGGATGACGCGTGGCATTTTTTCCAGAAGTAGTGGTTGAGAGGTGATGCCAGCCAGCCATGAAGATGACGATTTTGAGTTCTCGTGGAGTTCCCGTTGAGTTCCGCTTCAGCTCTCGCGGAGATTCCTGAAGAGTTCGCCTTGGTTGGGGAAGTTCCAGTGGTGGGAGTTCCGGTTGGTGTGTGGGGTGTTCCTGGAGGAGCCGCGTGGGTGGCGTTCGGGAGAGTTCCGGGGAGCGTGTGTGGAGTGTGCTGGTGGAGTTCGGAAATAAAGTTTGTTCCTGCTTGAGTGGCTCGTGATTTGTGCCCAGCCAGACTGCGGCATGCTCCCTCCCTTTCTCCCCCTCCATCTCAAGAGATAGAAGTGCACCCTCTCTCACTCACCTATAGCTACCCCAGGCTATAAGCAGAAGATGGTTCTCAGTCTCCATTGACCCTGCAGAGAGAGGGAGAGAGGAAGGGAGAGAGGAAAGGAGAGAGGGAAGGAGGGAGAGAGGCGTGCACGTTCATATATGTCATTTATGTCACTTGACACACATGAGGTCAGGTTGAATATACTGGGTTGTTGTTATTTTATGCCCCCCCCCACCTTCTCTTTTGTTTTCCTTGGGTGCTTTATAGTTTAGTGCTGTACATTCTAGGACTTTCCCTCTGGTGATCACAGGAGAAAATAACTAGACCAAGGCAGAAATGGAGGCCTGGAGATAGGAGGCTGCTCTTGGGTCAAAAGCAGGGGTGTCTTGGCCAAGGGAGAGACTGTGGGGTAGACTCACCTGGGGTATCCTGGTCGAATCCTCCAGTGAAGGGCTGGTTCTGGAGACACTGGTTTTGAAGAGGAGTCCAAAAATCTTGGAAGATAGGATGACTCAGGAAGAAGAGGTGAGTTTTCAGAGCTGGGTTCTGCACCAAAGCTGGGTCGTCCAGGGCCAGTCACTTAAACTCCCTGAGCCCCACATTTCTATCTGCAAAACAGGAAGATTCCTACTTCCTTGGATCCCAGTGCAGATTAAACAAATTGGGCTGGTGTGGAAGTCCCTTAGTCTCATGTTTGCATGTAGTAGACAATAAATAGTTAAAATGGGCCCTACTGTCCAACACCAGGTCCTCACAAACAGGTTCCTTCTCTGCCACCTGCCCCAAGCCAAAGCTGCTCATGGCAAGGCTTCGTGGCCACCTTCCTGGAGACCAGTGCCGGCCCCAGAACCTCATCAGGGCTGCACCCAAGCACTCCACAGGTGGCCAGGCAGGAGCCTGGGAAGCCTCCAGGGAGAATGTCTCCCAAGCGTGCTGGGGCCTGAGGTCGATTGGAAGCCTTAGGTCCTAAGCATCTTCTAACTGTGGGACCAAGACTAGATTTGGGGCCCAACCTGATAGGGCACAGTCACATGAGTGCCTTCTCTTTGGCTGGTGAGCAACAAACCTCGGACCTTCTCCAGTGCAGGATGGGTGAGCTGCATCCTCAGGGGCCTGAAGGGGAATGACCCAGCCTGTGGCCAAGAGCAGGCTGAAACCTGGGCACAGTGGCCTCGCGGGGCTGGGCCCCCACTGCCTACACTCCAATGGCAGCGCCTGCCCTTAACTGGTGCTTCATATTTGCTTACCGAGGGAATGGAGAATAGAAGTGAGTTCACACTCAGATGTGCAGCGATTCTCGGGAGAGGCTGGTCTGAGGGCAGTGGGTGAGGACCATGGGGCATGCTCAGGGCAAGCCTAGAGCAGCTGCCCGTGTCCCAAGGAGGGCTGGAGAGACAGCCTGGAGGGTGGGAGAGGAGACAGGCCCCAAAAGCAGGGCACCCCCCCATCCCACCCTGGGGATGCAGACCAGTTGCCACCAAGTATCCCTGGGCTAAGTCCAGGGGAGAAATATCCTCAGCTCCCCTAAGGGGACACACACACACACACACACACACACACACACACACACAGAGTCAAGGACTCCCTGGAGAAGCAGGAAGAGGAAGGGAGAGCATGATGGGAAGAGAGAAGAGGCTGAGTAGGAAAGGGGGGGGGGCACACAGGTAGTGGGGGCACAGGCCCTGTCTCAAAGGGGACCACACAGGACATCACGGAACAGCCCTGGCCTGGGCATGGAGGGCTTCTGCACTGACCGTGCTTGCCAATTTCACAGGACTGAGATGTCCTGCGAGTTACTCCCTCACAGTTCTTTACTGAGTCTTCTTCGAGTGCTTTGGACCTTAATGTTCCCTGAGTCCTGGGCAGAGCCCTCAGGGGGTAGAATAGGACTCAGCTGGAATAGAGTTCCATGGAGGCCACAGTAGGAGGTTCCTATGTGGCATTCCAGGAGGGGAAGATGGGGAGGCCTCCCTGGGGCCTCTGGCCCCCCAAGTGCCTGCAGCTTTGCTGGGAGGCCGGGAGCCACTGGCAGGCCAGAGCCGCAGCCAGCCGGCTGAGCCGGTTTCCCTTGTTGCAGACGGCCTGGCTCTAGGCCCACCTCCCGGTGCCCTGGGCCTGACATCTTCTGGGCAGAGCCGCGGTGCCCCGGGAGCCGTGTGGATGGTGTTAGTAAACACGCTTTCTTGCGCCCAGCCTGGCAGGGCCTGCGGGCAGCGGGAGGGCGCAGAGCTGGCAGCTCCCACGACTGGGCAGGCGGACGGGCAGGCAGACAGGCGGGCAGCCGCCCCGCACAGCCAAGCCAAGGCCCAGAATGGAGCAGCTGCTCCCGTCACCATGGCGACGGGACTGAACAATGAGCAGCCAGAAATGCAGCATGGCCGCCTGGCACTGTGGCCACACTCTCGCCCAGCCAGCCCTCGCGCCGACTCCTGCAAGCACACATCTCCATGTACGCTCACGCACACGTGCACACACCCAGCAGAGGCCTCCCGGCTGAGATGCACAACAGAGAGGGGAAGCGGAAAGCCGGGAGAGGGAGAGAGTATGGGGGGACAGACCCAGGAAAAGAAAGGGAGAGTGACGAGGGGACCAGGGGTCACAGCTTCACTGCCACCAAGTTGAGCACATTCTCACCCCTGAATTCTAGCTAAAAATACCTTTTAAAAACCCAGCCGGCTTTGCAGAGGGTCAGGTGGTGCCCTGGATTCTTGTGTAACCGAAGAGCTGGAGGGTTCCAATTAGCAAACGGCATCTCGAATCAAATCACCTTCTACTTAGAGACTAGGGGTCGCCGAGAGAGCCTGAAGGAGCTCTAAGTCCCAGGAAATTAGAAGGACGCTTTCTTAAATGGACCTAAATCCCGTGTAATTCCTCCTTGGAGATAATGTGGAGGAGAGGCCAAAAGGTTTAGCCACAGGCCAGAAACGGTGAGCCTGAGAAAGCCCTGGTCTAGCCCCTCAGGAAGGCAAAGGGTGACAGAGTCCAGAAGCCTGGGCAGGGAGCCAGGTGGACATCAGGTGATGGTGCTCATGGCCACCTTCTGGACACTTCCTTTTTGCAAGCTTCTCTTCTGATGACTGGCAGAGAAGCGAGATGAGCAGGTGGATCCCTGTCCCCAGAGCTCCTGGGCCTCAGGGGGAGGTATTGGGCCCACAGTAAGCCCCAGGCATCTCCACTCAACAGGGAAAGCAGACGCATCCCTAAGGTACACTTTCCCACCAGCTAATCAGCTGCCAGTCATTCCCTCAGCCAGATCCTGGTTTTCCTGAGGGAAAGGCAGGTGTGAGCCTTCCAAGATCACTGTCCAAAAACTGCCTATCCCCATCCTAATTCCTATCATGTTCTTAGCCCCCCAGAAGGTCACTTGATTTCTCTTGGCTTTGCCTGGTCCTCACCACCGGCCTCGGAGCTGGTAAATGCAACCCCTGGTAAGTGCATCCCAGGGTTGCTAGATCTTTTAGTAGAAAAGTAAGGACTAGTGACTGGTTGGCCTGATTCCAGTGTCCACACCCACCCCAAGTCAGAAAGGGCAAACTTGAAAGATCATAAGAAATGAAGGCTGGTGCCAAAACGGAATTTCATGACACACGACACCTAAGTAGTACAAGGAACAGCGGACGGGGGGACAGAACCATGAGAAAAGGAAGTGAGACACTGACCATGTCTCTGAGGATAGAGTTTAAAAAGTAAGATGGAAGCTGGGCACAGGGGTGCTCGCCTGTGATCCCAGCAGCTGGAGCTGAGGCAGGAGGATCACGAGTTCAAAGCCAGCCTCAGCCACTGCGAGGCACTAAGCAACTGAGTGAGACCCTGTCTCTAAATCAAATAAAAATTGGGCTGGAGATGTGGCGCAGGGGTCAAGTGCCCCTGAGTTCAATCCCTG